TTTCTTTCTTTCTTCTTTCTTTCTTTCTTTCTTTCTTTCTTTCTTTCTTTCTTTCTTTCCTTTCTTTCTTTCTTTCTTCTTTCGGAGAAGGTCTCCAGCTGGCCTTGAGCTCACTAAGCTCCCCAGGCTGGCCCTAAACTCCTGGTCCTCCTGCCTCAGCTTCTCGGGTGCTGGGATGACAGGAGAGGCCCAGTGTGTGTCTACGTCAAATCAAAGAAAAACCTTTAACCTTCTCTTGGTCTAAAGTAGCCTCCTCAGGCCTGGGGATTTAGCTCAGCGGTACAGTGCCTGCCTGGCAAGCGCAAGATCGTGAGTTCGATTCTCGGTACCGGAAAAAAAAACAACAAAAAAAATAAAGTAACCTCCTCAAGGCCACGGTTCTGGAAGCTGGCGAGGCCTCACATATTGGTACAGTGACACAACTTGGCCTTCTGGAAAGTTCTGCGCCCTCATGGACAAGGCTGCTGCCTGGAGGCCCGGGGCCTGTGCAGCCTCCCGGAGGCGGCTAGTGTAGATGCTAGGAGGAGACCGTCGAGGTCAGGAGGCCCCAGAACGCTGCGGGCCACACTTTGCCATCCTCTGCGTGAAGACTCAGATTTGTTGGTGACAGATTCAGACGCCCAAATCCACTGAGAGCTGGTTGTTGAGGGAAAGTTCTAGAAAGCAGTGACAGGAACATGGCACTGCACCAGACTCGCCAGAGCGACAGCCCTGGCCCGAGCTGCCTTTGGGAAACTCGGCAGCGTTTACGAGAACTGGCCCTCTCCTTCGGAGCCTGACGGGTGCCCAGGGGCCACACGGTCATCCACAACTGTCTCCCATCAGGCCTGGACTTCCCGCCCTGATACCTGAGGGATGCTGCGGACCACAAGCCCCTGTGGAGGCAGGAGGTGGAGCAGGACAAGCAGACGGAGAAAGTAGACAGAGCAAGGACAACCACGTCAAAATAGCCGAAAACCAGTGGACAAAGGTCACCCTACCCCCATGACCTCCAAGCATGTGCAAACCCGGAAATACACAGCCCTGGCCTGCACCCAACTTCCTCTGCAGTCTTAACCCCTCCTAGTGGGCGGTGGGCGCCCTGACACTTCCTCTAAAAACCCTCCCCTTCCAATGTGTGGGCGGAGTCAGGCACCTCATTGGGCCATGACGCCTGTCCATCCCCATGGAGACCCGCCCACAGTCCCAGGACCTTAAGAGGTCCAGTGCTGCCCCCTAGCGGGAGCGGTGATTTCCCCCAATCCTCCCTCGCTGCCAAGTGCACTAAAGGTCTTGCTCGATTCTTTGTTCAGAAACAACTCCCTGAGACCCCCCATCCAACACACTGTGATGACTGGGAATCTCTTTCCTGATCCACTCTTTTCCTTGGTCATCTCTTTTTTCTCGTTGGAACCCTGGCTTACCCACCAGTGAGCCACATCCCCAGCCCTTTTTATTTGTTTTGTTTTGGTTTTGAAACAGGGTCTCACTAAATTCCCAGGCTGATCCTCCTGCCTCAGCCTCCCAAGCAGCTGGGGCTGCAGCCATGCACCACCGTGCCGGCCCTCCCTCATCACCCGTCATCTGACTGCCGAGGGGGGCAGCCGCAAGTTCCCAGCCTTGGATCTTACCTGTTGGCTGAAGGTCACGTTTCTTCTCCTGCTAGCTTCGGGGCCGCCTCCCCCGGCAGCATCGGGGAGAGCCAAGGTTTGGGGTCTCTTCAAGATCCCGGACGCCCGCGGCTTGGGGGCGTCCAGGGAACCCACCCTCAGCACGTCCGCATCGCCAGAGGCCAGGCTGCTGTCCCTCCTGTCCAGTAGCCCCCGGTCCTGGCGGTAGAAGCCATCGGGGGCCCGCGGGAAGCTGACGCTCATGGCCTGGCGGGGGACGCTGGCGGGCAGGGCCAGGTAGTGGTCCTGGGCCCCCGTGAAGCAGTCGATGAGCACGCTGTCGATGTGGGAGGTGCCGAAGGAGGACGCGAACTCGCTGATGCCCGTCAGGGAGCTGTCCCTGCTGAGGAAGCTGCCGTACTTGGGCGTGAGCGGGCTGGGCGGGGAGAGCGGGGAGGAGAGGCCGGCGCCCAGGCCGGCGCCCGTCGGGGCAGGGAGCGCGCGGCCCGCGCCCTCCTCCTGCAGGCCGGGCGGGGACGGCGGCAGCGGCAGGCTGGGGCTCTTCATGCTCGGCCTCTTGTCGCCCGGGGGCCGCAGCGGCCGCTCGGGGATGCTGACCAGCGTCAGCACGGTGGTGACGCTGAGCGTGACGGCGGTGAAGATGTAGATGACGCGGAGCTGGCCTCCCAGCGCCCTCCCGAAGGCGGTTCTGTCCCAGTGGATCCCGCCGACCACGTAGCCGAAGCCTCCTCCCAGACCTGCGGAGAGACGGGTGTGGGCGCCCGGGGCGGCAGGGGCGCCCGCGGGGGGCGGCTCTGCTCCTGCGACTGGCGCCGCGGGCTCGGCCGGGGGGACGCGGCGCCTGGCCGGCTGAGCCCCCACGGATGAGCACGGGGACGCGGACCTGCCAGGCGCGCCTGGCCCTCGGTCCGCGCTGGCTTTGGCACGGCGGCCCTGACGCCGAAAGGCCCACGCGCTCAGCAGGAGGTCGTCCCGGAGGGACTGGGACCATCGCCTGCACGAGCCCCGAGAATCACGGAGCCGCGTGCGTCGGGGGAAACTGAGGCGGGACGCGGGGTGGGGACAGGTGCGCCACGGGAGACAAGGACGTTCTGACACCGTCACCCTCGCCCCGGCTGCTTCCTCCCTGGTCCCCGTCAGTCCCCTCGGAGTCCCCGCAGCCACTGGGACAGACAGGTGACGGCGCCGACCGCCACCCCTGCCGGCACGGCTGTGCGGGGCCAGGGCCGCCCTGCCCAGGGCCTGACCTTGACGGGGACCCTTCTCAGGCTCTGCTGTTACACGCCGGCATGCCCCCGTGTGCACACATGCACGCCCGCACACACCCACACACACTGCCTCCTGCCGGCCCTGTGCTTGTGAACCCCGATTCACGCCCGTGCCGGGCGGTGTTCTGCGGTCACCAGGGGACGGAGCAGCAGAGGGTCCGAGTGGGCTGAGCCTCACGGCCCCCACGCAGGTCCCGGGCAGTGCTCAGCTTGCTCCTTCTGGCTTTTGTGCCGCAACATTGTGTGGTCTGTGCGGGCCGCGCATTCTGTGTGTTTGCGCGTTTGCGCTGTTCGCCCTGCTTCAGGGCCCACAGTGCGTGCTGAGGTTCCAGCTGCGCTCCTCGGGTGAGACGCTGGCGACGTGGCCAGCAGAGGGAGTGTGTGAGAGAGAGCTTCCCCTGGGCCAGCCACGGCTGCGGGCCCTGAGTTGAACAGTAGAGGCGGCTGTCTGCTAAATAAAGCATCTTCGAGCCAGGCACGGTGGTGAGGGTTGTAATCTCAGTACTTGGGAGGCTGAGACAGGAGGATCACGAGTTAGAGTCCAGGCTGGACAATTGAATGATCTAGTGAGAGATCCTGTCTTCAAATAAAAAGGGCTGGGATGTAGCTCAGTGTGAAGGCTCTGGCTTCAACCACCAGGACCATAAAAAGCAAAAAAGTCTTTAAATGGAAACACAAGGTTCTCTATTGATGGGTTTGATAAAAACATCATGACCAGAGGTTCCTGAACCCAGCCCTGTGTTTCTTTTCTCCTCAGAACAAGGGACTCATTTATTAATTCAGCGTTCGTGTTGATGTCTTAGAATACAACTACTGCGAGTAATGAGATTCAACTCCATATAAACATTTATATTTACAGATCTGTATTTAAATACAATGGAGCTGTAGAGAGTCCTCACGGCCCAGGAAGTTTGTGTTTGTATCCCATGGAAAAGTTATTGGAATTCTAACAAGTTAATTCTAATCTACCACTTGCAGTGCAACCCATGGCGAGAATAAAGACACTAATGTGTATTTATAGTTATGGGGAGCCAAGGGGTCCTAAGTCCAGCCACAACGATGGCCATGTGGAACAAAGGCCTCCGCCCAGGGCCAGACCCGGGTTTTATTCATTCGTGAAGAAGGGAGTGGCTGGCCAGGCGTGGTGGTGCACGCCTGTAATCCTAGCACTTGGGAGGCTGAGGCAGGAGGATCGTTGCAAGTTCGAGACCAGCCTAGGCTACAAAGTGAGCTCAAGGCCAGTTTGAACTGCATAGTGAAACCCTGTCTCAAAAAAGAAAAAGAAGGGAGTGGCTTGAGGATGAGTGACTGTGAGAACCCTGGGAAGGGCTAGGTAGCAGGCCTGAAATCACCTCTGCAATGCAGAGAGAAGGATATGCAGAAGAGTAATCTGCATAACACAATTGAGATAGTAGCTAATGTTCTGGGGTCAGTGTTTCAGCTCTGATGTGTAATCTTTCAAGTCCCAGGAAGTCACAACCTCTCTTTCCCCCTCTCCCCCCCCCACCAGGAATCAAACTCATGACCTTGCGCTTGCCAGGCAGGCAGTGTGGCGCTGAGCTAAATCCCCAGCCCCCACAGCCTCTGCCTTGTGGCTCGATCCCAACCCACAGCGTGGAGCACCAGCTCACACATCCCACCTCATCCTGGCTCATTTGTGGGAACAACAGGGGTCCAGGGAAACACGCCTGCCATCTCCAAAGACTACCATCAGCACCTAGGCTAGACCGATATGCATTGCTTAAAGCCAATCGAGGGGATAAGGCAAAGTCCTAGCCCGCTCTGTACACATCAATACATGGAAATAGGGTCAGGCTCAGATGAAATGGAGACAACTGCTCTTCCTTCAAAGAAAGTCACCCAGCCGGGCGTGGTGCCGCACACCTGTAATCCCAGCACTTGGGAGGCTGAGGCAGGAGGATCGTTCCTAATTCAAGGCCAGCCTGGGCTACAAAGTGAGCTCAAGGCCAGCCTGAACTACATAGCGAGAGCCTGTCTCAAAAACAAACAAACAAACAAAGAAAGTCGCGCAGGTGGTCCTGCACAGGGAACCTCTGTTCACACACTTCATTTATTCCTCAATTCTGGGGAAGACGGTTGCGCCATGTGCACCACCCTATGCAGATTTCGAGAACGGAAGCAAACGTTTACCAAATGCTTCTGTTCGTGAACCAAATTGTTTGTGAACTGAAGTGTGTATACCGTACACACATACAGTGGACGCTGTTCTTCCGGTTCTACATCCTCAGACTAAACATATTCAGAAAATTTGTGTCCACTTTGAACACGTACAGACTTTCCTCCCTTGTCTCAAGTCCCAAAACAATACAGTAAAACAACTTTTTACGTACCATGTGCACTGTATTAAGTAACATAAGTTACTTAATAAGTAACTTAATAAGTAACCTAGAGGTTAATTAAAGTACTGTACATGGACCGATGTGTCTAGGTTACATGTACGTACTGGGCCTTTTCTTTCTTTCTCTGTTTTTTGTTTGTTTGTTTGTTTTTCTGGTACTGGGAATCGAACTCGCGACTTCGCACTTGCCGGGCAGGCGCTGTGCCGCTGAGCTAAATCCCCAGCTCGTCCTCTGTTTTTTTGAGACAGGGTCTCACTATTCAAGGGCTGGCCTTGCAGCCACTGTGTATTCCAGGCTGGCCTCAAACTCACAGCAATCCTCCTGCCTCAGCCTCCTGAGTGGTGGGAGCACTGCCATAACCGGTTTGGGCCATTTAAATAAAGGAGCTGGGCATCTGTAGATTTTGGTATTTGCAGGAAGTCCTCGAACCTATGTCCCACAGACACGGAGGCACGGCTAGACACACTCATTACACATGCGTGTTTACCCGCACCGGACGTTACTGTGTTTGGGATATATTTTTCAATCACTTTTATGTTTATATATTTGAATTTCATTCATCAATTTATTTATTTATCTAATAGTACTGGGCATTGAACCTGCAATGTCTACAGTGAGCTACATCTTCAGCCCTTTAAAAAAATAATTTCAGTTGGAGACAAGGTCTCACTGAGTCATTAAGCTGCCCAGGCTGACTGGGCTCAGACTTGCAACCCTCCTTCCTCAGCCTCCCGAAAGGGCTGGGGTTACAGGCCTGTGCTACCACACCGGCTCTATTGACTTAGTTTTTGGGTCAAGGAGGGGCCCCCAGTGCACGCATCCGACAAGTACAGCCCCGCAGCCTCGCCTGGGGGTCACTCACCCGCCAGGAGGGCGTGGATGTTCAGGCCGCGGTCCTGGTCCGCAGGCCCGCACACGTCCATCATGTAGGCGTGGCTGGGGTTGTCGGCCGAGTCCGCGCTGAAGTCCATCAGCACCACGCCGCACACGGTCAGCAGGATGCCCCACTTGTGGCTGGCGGCTGTGTCAGCCAGGGCTGCGCCGATGTCCCTGCCATTCAGCAGGAGCGAGAGGCCCAGCAGCGCCCCTGGAAGCAGAGAGGTGGGGTCACCGAGACCTTGCGGGCCAGGGTCCCCCACGGTCCACTGCCTGCGTCTAGAATCCGGGGACTCAGAATAAGTCGTGCTGTGACCCAGCTTGGCACAGAACCCGCAGGAGGGGTCACCGTGGGGTGGGGGCGACCTTCAGCCCACAGACAGGAAGGAGGCCCACTTATTAAATCCGCAGTGCCGGGGACTAGACTCAGGGCCTCTGCACTGAGCTGTGTCTCTTGCACTTCTTTTTGTCTTTTTGTTTTGAGACAGGGTCTTGCTAATTCACCAAGTTGCCCAGGCTGGGCTCAAACTTGGGATGTTCCTGCCTCAGCCTCTTCAGAGTACTGAGATCACAAGCATGTGCCAGATGCCCAGCTTCACAAAGTGATTTAATCTCAGGGTTGACTCAAGCTAAGGTTGGGGGCTCATTTGCTACCCCAAACCTGAAGGCCTGGAGTTAACAGGGCACCTGCTCTAGTCAAGACTTTTTAAAAAAGATTTTCATAAAAGGAAGTAGTTGAGGTTTTCTTTTCTTTCATTCCCCTTTCTGTCTTTCCTTCCTTCCTTCCTTCCTTCCTTCCTTCCTTCCTTCCTTCCTTCCTTCCTTCCTTCCTTTCTTCCTTTCTTCCCCTCCCTCTCCCTCCTTCCCCCCCCCTTTCTACCTGCCTATTGTCTTTTTCTTGTTTTGCATTTTATGTCCATGCCAAAACAGACCTATCGCCAGGACAAGAATGAAAGGGCGTCTCCTTCCAAACCTTGAGGTACACCGGTCACTCCAAGCACCCAACAGAGGCTGCAGCAGGAACCCTGAAACAGAGCAGGCCAGGGTCACTGTGGGGTCCCCGGGCACCCAGGGACACACAACAGCCTCGCCGCACCCCGAGGCTCCAGCCCGCCTCGGCCCCAGTGCCTCGAAAGCTTAAGGCTCTGAGAGGGTTCAGAGGCAGCGACAAAACAGAGCCCCTCAGCATTTTTTCGGCTTTTCCTCTTGTACACTAAAGGCACTAAACAGCCACGACCCGCCTGGGGAATTCACGAAATTCTAAGTCCTCAGGGAGCCAAACCCCACCGAGCTCTGTTGCTTGGATTCTCTGATGACAGCGTGGCCCGAGACCGCACAGTCCTTGGGGCGGCTCGGTTTTTGTTCTGTTGCCCGTTTTAGATAAAAGAACTTAAAATACAGGGAAAGGGTCACACCTGTTTTCCCACAGCCCCATGCTGACTAGGGGACCTGAACCCTTTTTTCTCCCTTGTCCTCAGGGAAGCTTCCAGAAACATCTGGAATCTTCCAGAAGCTTCTGGAATGTTCCAGAGTCTTCCAGGCCATATGTCTAGGGCTGAGCTGGGGCTCACCGAGGATGGGGCTGATGAACCACACCAGGCTGTAGAGCTGGTCGGGCAGGCCCATCTGCAGCAGCACTGGTGTCACATACGCCGTCTCCATGGCATAGCTGAACTCGATGCCGAACAGGACGCAGCCGTTGAAGAGCAGCTCCCGGAAGGACCTCTGGGGGTGCAGGTCCTCAAAGTCCACCCGCTCAATGGGACAGGGGGTGTTGGGAGGTGGGGGCGGGGAGGGCCGGATGCACTTCCTCCTCTTAGGGTGGCGTTTGAAGTTGTTGGCCCGGTGGCTGATGTGACGGGTCACCGAGCCTGCGTAGGCCGAGACCTGCGACCTCCAGAAGTCCTGGGGAGCCACGCCGCCGGGCAAGAGTGCCTCTCCCGGAGGGGTGCCGCTGGCCGGGGGGATCATGGCGGGGGGCGCTGCTGGGCGTCCCTGCAAGGAAGGCCGGGGAGGGCCACAGTTACTCTGCCAGGGCCTGCACTGCCACAGGGCCCAGGCCCGGCCCTCCCGGCACCCTCCTTCCCCGGGAAGAGCTGAGGTGACCAGGTCTGCCGCCCCTCAGACACGCAAGGACACCACAGCAGGTGCAGTCTCCCAGCTTGGGGAGCAGAGCCGGGTGCCCGGTCCCCACTAGACCTCGGGGTGGGGGACACAGCCACCGCCCAACAGCTACTCACAGGCCCAGGACGGCCGGAAGCCCATTTCTAGATTCCAGGGCCCGACATGGCGGACACCACGCAAGGGACAGGGCACCCTGATGGGTCGCTCACGGGGAGGGGACAGCCCTCCCCTCACAGACGGACAGTCAAGGCTGAACGCTGGTCCCTAACCCTTGTATTTACCCCTCTGCAGGAGACCCAAGTCTTTTCTCTTTTTCTCTTTCTGCCTTTCTCTCTGTCTTTCCCCCTTCTTTTTCTTTCTTTTTCTTTCTTTCTTTCTTTCTTTCTTTCTTTCTTTCTTTCTTTCTTTCTTTCTT